CATCTGTATTAATTTACCGTTTTGTCCTTTATGATCGTTTCCTTCGACAAGGATCATCTCTTCGATCTCTCGTTCGTCCCCCCCCCTCCCCCGTCCTCTCTCTCTTTACTTTCTAACGATCAACGAAAGTCCCTCGTACATAAATTCGCATTAGCCGGAGCGTTTGAAAGCCGGCGTCGCGGCCCCTGGCGCGTAGAAAATATATGAACGAGAGAAGAGAAGAACTTACTCAGGTTGAACTAGACTGTGACTTGCGTTCCGATTGCCCGCGACCGATCTCACTCGCTCGCCTTCCCTCCGGTCGCGTATATTTTTCACCGAGCGCCGGTCCTTAAACGTGGATGATCCTTGTTGATTTGCCAGACTGTCGAACGATCATGTGTCCTAAAAGAGAATTAAATTCATTAGTACGACACGCGTGATATATATATATATGTATACATATATATATATATATATTGGCATACTTAATGCAATTGTTGTGACCGACGACGAACGCTTCGCTACTCTCGGGGGCGTGAGTCTCCGTTCATTTTGTTATTAGACAAAACATCGAGTATCATGAAATTTAGTTTTATTTTAGTTTAGCTTTTCTATCTTGTAATATATTTTAATTGATAGGCGCGATGACAACGATTCACATTTTGTAATTTTTCACGAGGAAGAAATTGTTTGCCCGAATTGTGAAGGAATACCGGACTCTTTCGTGAAGTCGCGCGAGTAACGAAGTATTACGTCGGTAGAATGCGTTTGATGCGTTTGCTTTGCGAGGAGCACGAGGGTGCAATACTTCGGTTAGAAGCTGCTCTAGACTTTGCTGGTCCGACAAAGCTTCTACAAAAGTAGAGATTGATTGAAAAAAGAAAAAAAAAAAGAAAAAGAAAAAAAAAAGATTGAAATCGGAGATCGCTCTTAAATTCTTCTTTCTCCGCGCCATTATTTTAGAGATATCTCGTATCTATCTCGTCGCTCTTCGCACAGGAGAACGTAAGCACACTTCGCCGAATATTTCTTAGCCAGTAAACTGATCGCCGACTGGTTGCTTCGTTGCAGAGGAAGATTTGGCAATTAGTTTCGGAATTTTTATTTATAGCTATATCCAATGAAAAGGAAAAAAAAAATTCTTAAGTAGATTACGCTAACAAACAACCCGGATCTGCGATTTGATACGTCTCCGGGATTAGATAGGATGAAAAATTACATTGTATTATAGTAGGATTATGTCGTTATAAGCTGATCTAGATTTTTTTTTTTTTTTAAAGTAAGATAGCAATCCTATTACGTTACGAGTCGCTTCGAGACTCCGAGTAAGGTGTGCATTTAACAATGCCTTATTTCCGGCTGTGTTTTAATTGATATTTTCACCTTCGTTTCTTTTTCTCACGTATCGCCAGCGATGCCGTCACATTAGAGAATATGCCATACACTCTTGTCTTCAGGATGACACATATTCTCGAATCCCATAGTTCCGATAATTCATTTTAACAAAGTCAATCTCACTCGACGCTCTATCTTCGTTGCCGTTTGCTCCGCGAGATAAATTACACGACCAAATATCTCTACAACGAAACGATCGATTCAGCAAAGGTGAAGCAGACGCGTACATACATATTTCAAAATACCTGCTCGATAACGCCCGTTATTTATATTGTCTTATTATTGTGTAAATAGTTCTCTGCCGACATAATGTAGTAGGTGATTATTACAATATCGTAATTTAGTATAAAAGACTATGAAATAATATTGATATTATCGACAGACTGTAAATAAAATTATTTTGTATGCCAAAAGAAACCAAATGAGAGTGAACTACTTCGACGGCACTGTGTCACGGTGTAGTTGAATACGCACAAGTGACACGTATATATACGCACGGACACGTACACACACACACACACACACACACATACACACAACAAACACGTAACACGTGAAACATCGCGCGTATATTGATTGCTCCTCAAAGATGTATAATTAAGCGCAACCGCCCTACGAAATCGACGTATACGTGTGCGATGTTTGAGTTGATGACACGCGCCGATTATACTTTGTTAAAAATACAACTCAATCATATTTTTTTAATAACGATTGACTTAAGTTGAGCGTGACTTGAGTTGAGATCTGTGCGAATTAACAGATTTGTGTGCGTATTGTATCCGACATCAACAAAGTAAGAGAAAGATGTCGGACCGTCGCGTCTTTCGTGCATATGTGTATATCTAGCGGCATTTATTATCGAAATTTGTATCGCAAGAGCGTGAGCGTTGAACTGATTAGCGAGTCTCGTGGCTGAGAGAAGAAAAGAAGATGAGGAGGACAAAGTGGGGGAGAGAGACTGAAAGAGAAACAAGAAAAGAAAGAGAGAACGACAGAACTAACGACTATTTTTTTAACAATTTCCTTTCGTTAAAAGCACTTTCCGTTATTCTCTCGGCTGCGTGGTGTTTAACGCTAATTTGTTTCGCTGATATATATAACTACTACAATTATGAGGATGGTATGAGCTGTTGGACGGAGATATAGTATAGGTTAATGCCAGTTCGAGTAAGTGATTTTTTTTTTTACATATTTATATTTTCACACGTGCGTAAATTCGTAACATATAAACAAGTTGGTTTCTGATAATCTTAAGTGAAAAATTTTAGATCCTTCTTATCACAGCTATTTATTCGTCGAAGTATGAATAGCAACATTTTATGTTTAGTATTATATTTACATAAATCTTTTTTGTTTGATTTTTCTGGAGGCCAAATAAAGAAGGATTAGTATTTTTTTTTATATTTAAAATTAATGTCAACATTAAACAACTTCGATTGATTAATATCGTTCGACATTTATATCTTTATGTAAACTTGATTATTGCATCCAACAGCTCGTATATCTAAAGAGGTGAAGTCGCGTTCAAACGGATAGTTGAGAAATCGGCAGTATCTGTCGTTCAATCAATCCACTAATTTAATTGCGATTGCGCTCGTACCGGAAAACGGGCGATTAGTGAAAGTGTCGATGGATGGTGTCCACAGTACTGTACATAATTCTAGCTATAAGGGATTTAGAGAAATAACAGCAGTATGTACGCGGAGAGGAAAAAGGAATATAACTCATTATTACCGCTCGCAAGCCGTGCATTCGTATCTTGCGATTCGCGAGGTGTCCTCGGTCGCGCCCGAAGGAACTTCCCGCTCGTGTCGCTCGCGCGCGCGATATCACGATGACACGTAGCACACGCCGAAAAATACAAGCGGAGATATGTTTCCTCCAGAAATTCATCCACATAAACTGCCGACAAAACTATCGCTTTGTTTTGTACTTTTATTTTTGCGTTACGTTTTGCGATATGAAGAACACGTTAAAAAAAAAAACACGTTTGCAATTTGAAGCTGGACGCGGATTCGACGTGGAGTTCGGCACGATCGAGGACCCGGCTGAACCGAACCGAGTTTGCCTAGTTTAAGGCGGCGTTCAGACACTTATTCAATAAAGAGAGAACAGAGATGCAAATAATTGAGACTGCCAAAGATTTTCTTTACCCTTTTCCCGCCTTGGACGTTTAATTATGCTACTTTTTTTTTGTCAATTATATGATGAAAGGGAAGATACATATCGCGCAGAAATTAAAATTTCCAGGATGCGCATGCATTTGCATGGCGGAACATTTTTTTGTAGGCGTCATACAACAGCAGCTCCTTTTTAAACCCATATATATTTAACTACATTATAAATATAATCCTGTAATTATTGCTAAAGTTGTTTCACACATGATTGCGCAATCGTTTAGTTATCTCGTATATTTGTAGTTTCAACGAGCTACATAAATAAAAAGAGAATTAAAACGGAAATTGTCAGAGATTCTTTTACCTTTGTTCCTCCGTTTTTATACTTATAAATGATATCTAGTCAATTATGGATCATTCGATTCAGGACCAGGCTGAACTGTACTGCGTCTTCCCAATTTTATGTGGCGTTCTTTAATAAAGAGATCATTAAATCAAACTGCCAGAAACTTTCTTAACCTGTAAAAAAATATAATTCATTATTACCGCTTGTATTGTTCGCGAGTGTCTTCGATCACGCCCAGAGAAACACTTCTCTCATTTTATTTGCGGGAAATATTATGATACGTATGTATACTACACATATTAGCAAAGATGTTTTCTTGAAAACTTACGCGCCAGCTATTGATAGGCTTGTTTGATTTGCATTTTTATTTTTGAATTGTTTTGTGACGAGACACGTTCGCAATTAGAAGCTGATTGCGAATTTAACATGAAGTACGGCACGACTGAATTTAGATTAATCGAATCGAATCTGCAGTGTTCAGAAACGTATCTTTAATAAGAGAGAGGGAAAAGTTTAATAGGTTATAAATTTCTGTTATAGATATTTGATTATATTCTTTATATTTTATTTTAGCTAATTGTGAGGTATCAATTGTTTAAAAGTTTGAAAGATGCATTTGCGCGTGTGCAAACGAAGCAGTGTGCAACGCGTGTGCAACGAAGCAGTGACGGATTTGTGATACGATGGTCCTATGCTGTTTCTATTAAAACTTTATATGTGTAATTATTTATGTTGTAAATATTAATACTAGAAAAATTGCTTTAAAATGGTTTAAAATGGTTTTATATACATAGTTTTTAACTATCTTATGTATATTTATATCATAATTATAAATATGTAATACAAATGTACATAAAATGATACTAATAATTAATTGCATTTATCAGTATATACTTCTCTTCTAAAAATTGAAAATACTTATGCTTGTTAAATATTCTCAATTTTTGGAAGAAAAATATTAAGAATAACAAAAATAAAATCACTTAAAAACAATGTAAATTGTTACATAGCATTAAAAAATCTATTAATTAAACTTTTTTTTCAAGTTTTTGGTTCATTTTAATCATAAGAAACTATCAAGGACATTCACGTTTTATTACCGATCTGTGCAAAACTGTAAATCCTCTGCACGAGAGGCGCTAAGAGGCACGTCTCTCTCTCTCTCTCTTGCCTAATGCAATTTTTTTGCCCATCGTCCACTATGTGCCGGACATCTAATTTGAAACGATTGCTACGTGGCCAAACAAGGCTGAAATTTCCATCAATTTTGTTGAGCGACTGAAAAGTGCATAATATCACGAAATGGAGATGCACGACGGATTTAACTGACAAGAATCTAAAGCAGAAGGATTAACCTAAATCCGGAAATTTGCAAAAGACTGACCGTATGTAAATATAGTACAAATGTTCAACATGTTCTTGATGAGATATCAGGCAACTTAATGATAATTAATGATAATTTTTATCGCATTACACGTATTTATTATATCATCATTTAGATAGATTTAGTATTCACTTGAGAAAGTTTAGTTGCTGAAATTGCATTGAGATAAAATTATTAAAATTGCAATTGTATCTTCGCAAATATTTTAATAGATTTGCATGTATTCTGCTATTTGAATCACGTTTATTCTCTGTACAGAGTCATATTCAACTTTTATCATATACTATGTCTCATCTGCTCCTGTCTCCAAGTCTTGCTTCATTATCAAGAAGTATATCATTTAGACATGGATACAGACAAATCCATCATACGTAAGTACAATATTTTACTAAGGAAGAAGTATGTTACTTATTATGTTTAATACATTTTTAATTTATTCTATTAGCTGCAAAATTCTGGTGGTTGGAGGTGGTACTGCTGGCTGCTCCATGGCAGCAAAATTATCAAGGAAACTCAATGATCCAAAGGAAAACCTCATTGTGCTAGAACCTAGCGATGTAAGTTAATAAATAAGAGACAAATAAATATACAACATATGGTCTTCTTTTAAGAATAAATTACCTTGATTTCTAGGTGCATTATTATCAACCTTTGTTTACTTTGGTTGGAGGTGGCATTAGTTCTTTCAAATCATCAAGGAGATATATGAAAGATGTTCTTCCAAAAAATGCAAAATGGTTAAAAACGTCTGTTGTTGGATTTCAGCCAGATGTTAACAAAGTATTAACACATAATGGAGATACTATACAATATGACATCATGATTGTTGCAATAGGATTGGAATTATATTGGGATAAAGTGAGACCATAGATAGCATTTATATGTTCAATATATTATGATACTAAAATTGCAATGCTAAAATATTTTTTGGCATAGATTCCAGGCTTGGTTGAAGGCTTGCGTGATTCTGAATCGCAAGTTTGTTCTATTTATGGGCCTGATACTGTTCCTCAAGTTTATTGGAAAATTAAAAAGACAGGACCAGGAACTGCAGTATTCACATTTCCAAATTCACCAGTTAAATGTCCAGGCGCACCGCAAAAAATCGCTTATATTGCAGAGGACTATTTTCGCAAAGTATATCTCTATTACACTATTTGTCAATTCACAAGAAGAATTTTTAGTTGAATAATATTTGTTTCATTTAAAGCACAATCTACGAAATAACATTAGCGTGGTATACAACACTGCATTGCCTGTTATATTTGGAGTTAAGAAATACGCTGATTCGCTCTGGAATGTTTGCAAGGAGAGAGACATTACAGTTAATCTTCAAACAAATCTGGTAAAAATAGATCTGAGTAAAAGGCAAGCTACATTTGAGAAACTGAACTCACCAGGAGAAACATTTGTACAAGAGGTATGTTCATCCTTCAAAATAAAAAGATTATTCGAAATATTGATCGGTATATTCAAAACACTAACATTTTTATTATTCCAGTATTCTCTCCTCCATGTGACACCTCCAATGGGACCCCCTGCAGTTCTAAAGAAACATCTGGAATTAACTAATGAAGCTGGATTTCTCTCTGTGGATCCTAAAACATTGCGACATACAAGGTATCCAAATATATTTGGCATAGGTGATTGCACAAACACTCCGAATTCTAAAACAATGGCTGCAATAGGTAAGGCAATCATTTATTCATCTAATTGATAATGAAAAAGCTTATAAAATACTGCAATTTTTATGCAGCTGCTCAAGGAAAAGTATTGTATCAGAATATCTTGGATGATTTGGCTGGTAAACCAGTGACAATGGTCTATGATGGTTACGCATCATGTCCATTAGTTACCGGTTATGGTAAATGCATTCTGGCAGAATTCGATTACAACTTGCAGCCGAAAGAGACCTTTCCAGTGAATCAAGGCAAAGAATTTTATTTTACTTATTTGCTGAAGACACACCTCTTCCCATTTATATATTGGCATTTGATGTTGAGGTGAGATATTTTAAATATCTTATTTTAAATATCTTAAATATCTAATGTTTATATTTAAAACAGTGATATACAAATGTACACGCACCAGCACAAATGTCCGTCACTAGATAGGTCCCTCGGAGGGATACAAAACCGAATGCTCGGTGTACGTGGCTCAGCCGCCTGTAGAGATATCATGCTGTCCGTATAGCTGTCTCATTCGCACTACTCCACTCGACCGTCGAATGAGTGAGACAGCTATTGGACTCTCTAACGCAATATCACGTCGTATGTTTCCTCTCTCCATCGTCCGTCTTGCGCTAAGGATGCAAGATGGAAATGTGCCCCACAACTATTCCGCTCGCTGCTTATTCTGCCCCTCGCGTCAAGTGCACTCGGTTTTGTAGGGACCCTCCTAGAGACCGTCCTATTGTACACATAATTGTACACATAAATATATACGTAAAATTTTATATACATTTTTTATGATCACGTTTTATAGGGGTCACTGGAATGGACCAGAATTCTTCCGTAAGCTCACCAAGTCTTTAAAAAAAGATTAGTGCTTGAAAGGAATTGAAGAAAAATATATCTAGCATATTTTTTTACAATTGGATGAAGTGATATGACCATGACTAATTATTAATTAATTTGATGTACATATATGTAGAAAATTTATCTATTTATATCTCGTGATATAATCTTGTTGTATAATGAAAATTAGCAATATATATTTGCACTGTATACAATATAATAAAGAAATATTTTATGGAAAGATTTAAAAGGAGTTAGATTTTTGTTACTTTTTGTATTTTTTGTACGTGTACTTTTTCTTCCAATCTAGGAACATGGTTTTCTAAGAAGATTGGCATCATGATACAGTGGCGACACTGCTGGACACGTCAAAATCAGTGAAGTTCAGTCAAATTTGATGTAAACATGGATGGTCAACCTTTGGTAGGTTTTTAAATCAAATATCAAAGTTTTTACAATTAATTATAAGAGTGTGTAGCATATATTTTTGATAAACATTGTGATATAAGTATTTCTAATAAGAATTGTAGTTTAAAAGTTGTGCAACATAACCTAACCTAACCTAGATGCAACAAATTTTGTATAATTTCTGCTAAATCTTATAGTCCTGATAATCAATTCTTATATTTAATTTTTTGAGTTATTAATATAAGAAAGAATGTAGAAAGAATATAGAAAAAATAAAGAAAGTTAAAACTTTTGTCTGACTTGTTAACAAGCCAATTTACAGTCCTAAATCTCACATATTTTTGTATTCTACTATGTGCTTCCATATGTATATATGTGTATGTATAGAAATTTATTTTGCAATTTATTGCAATTCTAAAAATTGAATATTGGAAATTAATCTAGGAACCCACGTTGTACACGGTAAAAGGAATGGCCATTCTCGACAATGATGGCAACAGGATACTGGCAAAATATTATGACAAAAATGTATTTCCAACACCAAAAGAACAGAAAACCTTCGAGAAGAATTTGTTCAGTAAAACACACAGAGCAAACGCCGAGATTATCATGTTGGATGGTTTAACATGTGTTTACAGAAGTAATGTGGATTTGTTTTTCTACGTAATGGGTAGTTCACACGAAAATGAGGTTTGTATAATTTTTAAATATCTTAAAACTTATAGATGTCACACATACATATATTAATATACTGTGTTTATTTCAGTTAATTTTAATGAGTGTGCTGAACTGCTTGTATGATTCTGTAAGTCAAATTCTCAGGAAGAACGTTGAGAAAAGAGCAGTATTAGACAGCCTGGATATAGTGATGCTAGCTATGGATGAAATTTGTGATGGAGGGTAAATAGAATATCATTTAATAAGTTCTCTGGATTTGCTGGCAACATAACAAAATTATGTTTTCAGTATAATTCTGGACGCGGATGCAACAAGTGTGGTACAGAGGGTAGCATTACGAACGGATGACATTCCACTTGGAGAACAGACAGTAGCACAGGTAATACTTTTTCTGACTTATGCCACTTTTATAAAACTACAATTATAATTTTGATTCATGTACGACATACATTGTTTTTTTTTAAAGGTACTACAATCTGCCAAGGAACAGCTTAAATGGTCATTATTAAAATAAATATTTTCTCTTTGTGTATGATTTCCAGAAAAACATTCACAACACATATATATCGTAAAAAAAATATTATTGTATAAAATAAGACAATTTAATAAAAATAGAAGTAGAAATTTAAATGGTGTATGATTTATTCAATCTAGTTTATGTTTTGTTTATTTTTATAATTTTATATTTAAGTTTTGAAATACTAATAACTTTAGACATCATATAAATGACAAAATTGCAATCTATTTACAGTGACAAATGAAGATAAATTAGATTTGTTAACGTAAATCAGTAAAAAATGTTCAAGTTGTAGATATGAGTTACTTTCTTTGTTAAATGGCGTTAATTATTCAAGCTTTAAAATAATATTTAAAGTAGTCTCAACTTCTTTGCTTTGAAGATATGTCAAAATATATATTTGTTAAAATATATATTTGTAAAATATATTTTTTTTAATAAATATATATTTGTAAAATATATTTTTTAATAAATATACCACATTAATTTTGAATTATCAACATCTTGTATAATTATACAGCATATCTCAGACCAACCGTATCATCTGTTAACAGATTTCTGAGGCCATTGGAGATGAAAATCTCTATACTGAAGTATCGAAGCTACAGTAATTTTTTAATAATGCGACGTGTTCAAAAATGACCAAGTAGATTGTCAAAGAACGCGGAATTCACAAGTTGATTTTAACGTACAAAGTATATTCAAATTATAGCAGCTTTAAATGAAAAGTTTAAACTTTTAACTCGATTTTGATAAATGTTTGATAAATATTGTAATGTTCAAACCGATTTGCGGCGCTTGATAGAGTTATTTTCGTCGCCCTTAGCGTGCATCTATATTCCTTCTTTCTCTCTCTCTCTCTCTCTCTCTCTCTCTCTCACGCGTTATGTATCGGCACGCACATTATTACAATCTACTCCCCGCAGATTCCCAAATTGGAATCGGCACGATTTTGTTCTTGTGATACGTTTATTACGTTCTTATTATTCTCACGGCGGCATTTCATACAGAGCAGATCGTTTCTATCGATGCGTTATCCTCTCCAATAGTATTATCCTTATTATTTTCCACAGTTTTTGATCTCACTCTTTCCGTCGTTATTTGTGACGGATGCGGCAGAGTGTCGAACGTATGTTCCGTGAGATAATATTTGAGTTTTTCTTTATAATTTGGATATATTTTTCTATGTTATAGATCAACTTGTGAGCTACTTCGCTGTTGCGCATTGTGCCGGTAAGTTAATCCAGTTTTGTTTTATTGTAATATCATTAAGATAATAGATTTAAATAATGTAAAATATATAAGGTGTTTCAGACTAATCGTATCACTCGTTAATAGCAGGTTTCCGAGGTTTCTTGTATCATAAGGATATGAAAATCAATGTGCGACGTGTTTGAGCGTGTAAATCTTTGACAATCTAATTGGTCAACTTTAATCTCTTCGCATTAAAAGTTACTGTAGCCTCGACATTTTGGTATCAAGATTTCCTCCAAATGATCTTAGGAATCTAATTAACAGATATGATTGGTTTGAGACACTCTGTATATATTTGGATATTCACATTATAAAAAAAATTAGACGTAGAAATTTTATAATTTCTACGTCTAATTTTTTGTGCAACAGGAACTAAAAAGTACTCTGTCAGGAATAAACGTGAATATTATTTTCGCGCGATTACAGCATCGAAATCTGTAAGCTTATTGAAATTATACGGGCTCTGCCAATCCCCGCGTGTATCTCTAATGGAGCTTCGGCGATGCTAAGCCCCTCGGCTGCTCGAACTTTTTACACGACCCCCATCGGCGCCCACCGCCCCCCAGGGAAATCCAGCGCGTAAGAGTGGCCGAGGAGGAGAAGTCGGCTGGGGAGGACGGAAGGGAGGGGGGGTGGGGTTGGTGAGAAGGGAGTGAAAGCTAGATAACGCGCGCGCGTCTCCACGGAGAGGAGCGGTGCCCGGATACCGTCCTCCTGTTTATTCGTCACGTGACGAACCCGTGGACGACCCGTTTCGATCGCCGGTCCGTTGGTTACTCTTTCATCGGCCTCCTCCGCGCTGGGAATTTTAAATTTGATTACAAACTGCCCGAACGCGCCACCCACCGCCTGCCCTTCCTCGCGCTTCCGCTTTCCCTCGTTTTCCCTCCTGCCGCCGCGCGCCACTCTTTTTTTGTGCGCGACCCGATGAAAAACTCTCGTCGCTCGATCGCGACGGAATTATTGGCCGGCCGGCTTTATTTATGGCATTCATTTTCCTGGAGATGGCGACCCAGGACGCAGTCCGTCGGCGTCCACTATTTTTCTTTCCCTCTCTTTTTCCGTTTTCTCATTTCGCTAATTGCTTACTTATTCCGCGCTTGACCCTACCGTTATCAATATTACCTGACCTCGATGCCTATTTGTAACAGATAATTATTTTCTTATTATTATCTGCATTCACTTTTTTTTTCTTTCCCGTTACATATTGTTCTGAGAAAAAAATATAATAAACTTTTGTCTCCATTGTATTCCGGCGTGACGAATTATTGTCAGATCACTTCGTGCATTTGTATAGATTCCTTACAAAATATTACGTATTCAAAATGTGAACAGTTACTTTTATTAGTTAAAAAACACATTACTTCAGGCTGTTTTAAGACTAAATGCCCTAAATAAATTATTCCGCAACATTGGCTACAGATGTTATTGGATGACTCATTTTCACATTCACATTATACTTTCCTATTGTAACGGTACACGCCCTATTTTTCTTGAAGGACTTATTAGTCGAGAGAGAAAAAAGGGAAAGATGTAAACTCCTTACGATTTCACTTCACATAAATCTCAAGTCAAGCAATTGTCAGTCTCAGCAGACATACATACAATTAGTTCTTTAGACCTATTACTATTCTCGTTTCTTCAAATCTACGTCTGGCGTTCCATCAATTTCTCTTCTTTTTTTCACACTGACATGTTCCGCGCTGCCTTTTTCGTGCTTGCGCGCGCGTCCCGTCGATACGCGATTTACGACCCGTCAAGCGAGGGACGACCAGGACGTTGATAACGACGACACTTTGACGAGGAACGCATCTCGTTTCCTCCTACTAGCGCGACGGGATATTAATTCCGGACGGGAGCTTCTCTCGTGCGCGCGCGTTTGCGTTCGCGCCGTGTATTATCTTTAAAATAATAACTCGAGCGTTGTGCGCGATATTAATGAGACATTTTTTCAATACTATGTAACAAAAGCGAGTAAATTAAACAAAAGACACATCGAAGTAAATTGCTTTTCAGCAATTCTTTTCAATGTATTTTAAAATTTCAATTTTAATTCATATTTAAACTAAAATTCAAAGCTAATTAAAGATCGCATACATTATTGCGAAAAAAACACATTATCAATTCAACGTTATTACTTACGTGATCGATTAGTGTAGATTACTTCGATTCACAGATTACCGAGTGATTGGTCGATGACAAATCTCTTTTAAGATCGAATCGGATCGAGGGTTGAAATCAAACTCACTGGAGCGAAATCTATAAAAAATAATTAAATAAAAAAATATTAGTACAAAAACATTTAAAGAAATTCTCTGTATTTGTAGAGCTCATAATTTATATAAAGTTAATAAAAATATCATACTTATACAAAAATTTTTATTATCTTTCTCGTCATTATTTCATTAAACGCGCAATAAAAATGAGTTTGTATGAATAGCAAATTTTCTTGGAAAAAAGGATATAACATAAATAGCCTTCCTTTATACTTTAAGTTATGTTGCAATAGCTGTAATTTTTCTACAAAAGCCCAATTTTCCAGCATTGTGTCGTGTACTGGACAATTGTGCGTACCGGAACTTTTCTGACCTCTTGGTACCTGAGTTTCTAATCATTGGATATTATATTTTAACCTTTAGAATTGAGTGCAGTAACCAATGACGTGTAACATTATTTCTCTTAATGTCTAGGCACCCAACGCGTTAGGTATCTAACGGCACGAAAAGAGGTGCCCTCGTAAATCAATAACGCGGACAGGGCGAGAGTCGTTGCGATGGCACATGCTCGAGATAGTAGGACGTGTTTAAACGGACTCGAGAATCGAATTGCTCGCTAACATCTCGCGCATCTCCCGTCGGTGGTGGTCCAGGTGGCCGGCAAGGGCAATTAAACGTATAAACGGCGGGAATTAGCCGCAAGAATTGGCCCGGCAGCGCGCTTTCAATGAATCGCGGTGCCTTCCGGACATCAGGGCCATTTAACACGATGACATCCCATTTACCACCCCCGCACAAAGACCTCGGTAGACACTGCAAAGCCCCGAGAACCCATATGTCAGCACGTGCTGACCAGAAGCAACGCGGGGCGCGCCGCTCTCTTTTATACGAAGTCGATAGACCCAACCGGCCGCCGCATCGTTGGCGACGCGCCAGCCGGAAACTTACTCGCAGGGATAAACAATTTCTCTCGCGATTAATCTTGTTTGTCGTTGACCCCGTGATTCGCAATGTGCGAGCACATTGTTGACCAGACTCGCACGAATCTATTTTGTAATAAATATCTTTACTTATATTCTACGCAAATATATTCATATAAAATTAATTTTGAATAATAGCTTTCAATTTTTTTTATATTAAAAAGTTTTTCTATGCAGAAAGTGCCTGCTTGTTGCAATGTCGGTGAACCGACATTATCGAATTTCATGAACTTCGAAAGGGGGAATGTGGATCGCGATACAGGATTCAACTCAATAGAAATTTAAAAGCGCAAAGGGACGCGGTTTGAGAATAGGCTCTTCGCTTCGGTAAGGGCATTGTTTTAGACCTGCTAACACGAGAAGCGACCGCAAGTACAAAGCCTGCGAAATATGCGTACAAAGAATGCGCCAATATGGAACTTTTACTGCAATTTTACCGCTCTGTAATAATAATTTCATTAAGATAATTTTTATTATTTTGAAATAATTTATGATAATTAAACAAATCCACTCTTAAAAAAGGCATAAAAGATCGATACTCGAATGTATCGAAAGTATTGTTGACGCTTTTCCGCGACGCTGATTGATTATCTCGATTATTCTGACAGTTTGATAGTTTGAGAGCGAAGGTTATTTTGACGGTTATTTAAAATAAAAAAAATT